GCGGGAATCCGCCGCACACCTAGTTGTTCCCTGTCCTTGCTCGTTGGCCGATACACTGCGAACCAGGAAGTCTCGGAGCCTCAGCCATGAACCAAATTCTGGTGAGCTCATTGAGATGAACTCCAAAACAGCGCACTGTTCAACATCCCTCAGGCACCTGCACTTTGGTTCCAGTCTAATTTATCAAGGATCTCGCTTGCATCCCCATCAAACCCATTGAGCAAAAGTATTCAGCAAAAGGAGAAAGCGGGCTGTGAGAAGCCGCGTGGCCGACAGTTCCTTCGAGCTTGTGAGCATCCAAAGAACCTCTTGGACCACGGCTGTCGCCAACCTTGCAATAGGCTACGGGCTGTGACATGTGCTATGAGGCTTGACATGTGTGCTTGCGGAGCAAGACTCTTTGCTCAAGTGCTCTCTTCCAAAAACGGATTCAAGAGGGGGAGGCCTGGTAAAAGTCGGCGATGAGCTTTCGGGGATCTGTCAGATATTGCTGCCTCAGCTTGACAACCAGTGAAACATGCCAGTTTTGCTACAGCAAACAGCTCAACCTATTGATTCGAGAAGTCTAACCTCTTCGACCAATACTTGCTGATCGCAACTCTTGTCTTCTGACATCTACAGCGATTGGGCACCATGGCTTCCAAGTCACTGCTGCAAGTCGTTCATGGAACCCAGCAGACGCTCGAACTTGCCCCGACTGAGCACAAGGACTTCAACCTCAGCTTCCGAAGCACAAATTAGCGGTTTTGGCGTTGGCGTCTCAGGGGCAATCAGGGCTGCAAAGGTCTTCAAACACATCCTAAGCCTGCAAATCCTGTTAGAAGATTTGCAAGATTGGATAAGATTGGTGGCTGCCGGGCTGCACGAGTCACTGAAGTCACAGACGCTGCGCGCGGCTCGTTCTTCAACAGGGCACGCTCCCCGAAGAGGTTCCCCGCGTGGAGCCGGACCTGAACTGCGCTCGTCGGCAGCCGGGGCTAGGGCGTGGCGAAGGGTCGTACTGTAGAACTTGCGTGTTGGACTTGGATCTGCCATTACCCAATGGGCCCAAACAAAGGCATATGAAAATCCGAATGACGGGCAAGGCTCTTGTCATAGAACAGCTACAAAAATGCAATGTGAACCTACGCGCCCACTTCAATGCCCGTGCTCTCTCAATCAATGAGGTGCTGGCATACTCCTGCTCATCATCACCGTTTTTCACCCACACGCGGCAAGTTCCGCTGGAGATCAAGAAGAACTCGGAGCCTACCAGGCAAATGGATGGGTTGCCCTGATTTTCTTGAGTCAACCAAGCTGGGCAGCATCACCAGGAGTTATCATCAACCTGGCCTTGTTCTCCCTGTGTGATGATGTTTTCGCCTGGTTCGTACCTGCAGGCTTCTCACATGAATGCCAAGCTGTCGAACCAAGATCTCGTCTCGCTGTGCTCATGGCGCTAGGCTTTCATATGAGGACATGTCGGTGTTGCACACGAGATCTACATGTCAGACTGCATGCAACTTTGGCAGCTTGATGGCACAGGGAAACAGGCCTGCGAATGCTAAAGGAGTCGCAAAGCTTCTCCAGGGCCTGGCCACATTCAAACCAGCCACACGGCCACTGATACTATTCGTGCCCATGCTGTCCTGCTTAGGCCACCTCATCACATGCTGGATTTCAAAGCTTGGTCTACTTTATGAATCACGCGAGCCTCATCTTCCATCATTTCGAGCCTTTGCAACCAACGGGACAGAACGGGATTGCATTGCACTTGGGCAAATGCCAGGTAATATGGCTTTACCCCCTCTCATGCTTGTACAGCAATCTCCGGAACCAACACTACTAGAACCCTGAACCCATGACAGGAACTCATAAAACTCAGCAATCAAGCGCAGGCCGGAAGCATTTTAGAGCTCTTCAACATGTGCTTGTACCTCGGACACACAGCACCAAGAACAGCACAAACGTTGTACAGTATCTGTGCATTTGCACGAGACATATCCTATTTCCTGCACCAAGATTCCTGGATCGCTGCCGGAACGACATGCGTGTACAAAGTGTGACCTCCAGGCTCATCAGAGCTTGAATATGAAAAGCTGCGAATGGGAACTACAAGCCAAACTTTAGCCAGGGCACATATTCACTATGCGTGAGCTTCGCCACGACCGTCTCGCCCTCTGCCTGCACAGCAAGGCACCAAGCCCAGCTGAGCAAGTAGGAAAAGCTAAATCTTATGGAATGAGCAAGGCTCAAGAACATGCACTACAGCCCTGCCTTCAACGAGTATCTGCGTGGGTATGCGAACAGAACAGCCACCTTTGCAAGCTCAGTTGAATCCAAACTGTCAGGGCATGCCTCTTCTCATTCCTATTAATATTATTAATATTAATAGTATTCATATGAATATTTGTAAAATTAATATTACTAATATTAATAATAATAATAGTATTAGTAATATTAATATTAATACTATTAATCTACAAGCTGAACGTAGCCGGAGCTTTCTGGGAAGGCTTCAGGCCTCGTCGATCAAGTCGCCCTGCTTCTTTTTCAAAACAGGCTCTGCCTTACCGCCTCGGCGTGTTCTCACGCAAGTTCGGAGAGCACGGAACTCCAATCCACAGTTCCAGTGAAGTAGTCTAGCATGAATGGCGACTTAGCAAACTCTAATCTCCACAGCGCATTCAATCCTAGCGAATTCTGCTAAGATACTCACTAGATCTCGTGCAGCAATTTACAAGTTCAGTGCCTTTCTTCCTTTAGCAACTCCAATTTTCACGGATTCGGTTGAGCTCCCAGCTTTGGTAGCAGGCAAGAGTTCCCTCGAGTACAACCTCAGACAGGGCAGCATGCACCCTGCGCTGACACATGAGAGCACTGCACTGCCCCCATCTGCAAACTCCCCATTCAAGCGAGATTCAAAGAGGCTGTCTGCTCGCTCACCCTCATCGGCGAAGGACTCTCCGTCATACCGCAGATGAGTCTCCTTCAGCATTTGGGGCAGTCAAAGCCAGCAGCAATGAAAAAAACTCATATGCATGAGGCCAACCCCGACCCATGAAGCAATTTGCTGTTGCAGTTGCGAGGAACATGACTTCAGCACCATGAGAGTTCATGTGCTCACTGAATCGATGCTTGGACTATGTCTTCCAGTTGTACAACCCAAGCTCCATTGGCCGAATGAAGCGCTCCATATCCTGGGGTGCAGGATTTCTTGCCAGCTCAATCAGCAATGCACTTCTTTGAATGAAGTGCCCTCTGCTCCATTAGCCGAGAAGCCCTGTCGCCAAACTGCTGGAACACAGTTGCGTCCCTTCAGAGATCGTGGATGCAAGGCGGATGAACGCTGCGAATGGACATCGTTGCAATATGGATTTTGACACAAGCGTTGTCAGTGCAAGTGCACCTCATAGTGTCGAAGAGAATCCGCTCCCAAGCCGAGTGCTTTGTCCACATGTTCTCCTGTCAAAAACAGAGCATTGCAAGCAATACTGAAAGAGCCAGCTCTCTGTCCCCTCTCTGCTGTTGTACTGCAGGCTCCCCATTATCCTCATGTAAGTCCCGCAGGGCTCTTCCGGTTGAAGGGCACTTTGCGCATTCCCATGCCCGCCATGCATGCCCGCCCTGAAACCTTCTGCCGTTTTGTTGGCCCTGGCTCTGTTACACAGCAAACACCATTAACTCAGACCCCGGCAAACTCCAAAGCAAACTCTTCTGCGAAGTACCAATGCTCCGGAATGTCATCATGCCCATTCCAGGCAGACAAACGAACTGCGCCATCTACAGGAAAGCGTGAGTTCAAAATGTGAAGTTCTTTGGGGCAAATCTGCAAGTTTGCTGGATCTGCCCACGCAAGCCGATTTCGACCCGTCCTTGTAGTAGCCCTTGGTCCATGGCTCTGCACAAACGCCGCCACGCCTGGGCCGTAAGAAGGGCTGGACGTCGATGACCTGATAGCCACATGGCCTACCCAGACCCTTGCAAGAATCTAAAAATTAGATCCCCTATATAGACCCTTTATAGCCCCTGTATAATCTTCACATAATTCCCCTATGGTTCTAGGGGATCTAATCTTTAGATCCTTTTGGGGGTCTGGGTACATGACCGAACAAAATGAACAAATGGAAGGGTGCAAGACATGACGAGAAATGAAAGTAAGGTTAACTTATCATCTTTCAAACTCTTCTATGCCCAACAGCTCCAGCTTTTCTCGGAAAACGCCGTTGTTACAGTCTGCCTGTACGGGTATTCGCTAAGCACTCATGGACAAACCTAATCTGACTCACAAGTCCCAAATTCCGCTGAAAATTCCGCTGAAGCCATATCAAACCCATACCTGGTTGCTTCAGGCCTCGTCATCCTCGTCCTCATCCTCCGAGAAGAACTCTTGTCCAAGTCCGAAAGACTGTGTCCTGTCTGACACCGTGTTGGTACAAAGCCATGTAGCCTGGGGCTTGAAAGGCAAGGGGAAATAGGTGGGTTCTAGATAGTCTGCACAGAAGACTCTGAAACTTATGTCAGGAAGCGTGATTTCTATAAGAAACGGGGTATGATATGGGGAGTAGCACCGCAACTCATCCATCAGCTGGCCGCAAACCTTTTGCGGATGTGATGTGCCTCTTCTTGAGAACTGTAAATGCACTGCCTCATGTATGCAAGGCAACCCGCGTCCTGTTATATCTGGCCAAGGAAGCGCTGGCAGTCGGATGGGGCATGACCCTTGGTGTTTCCAGCACCCTCTAGAACAGTTGGGGGAAGCTATTTAAATACCCATTGATGAGCAAGTCAAATACCCTTCTCAGTCAAAAGCTAGCTCACCACTTGCACCCCTTGCCTTACGGTCCTGGTCTACGTTAGGGATTGCCTGCCTTCTTCTCAGAGAGCAAGCCTCGCTTTTCTGAGCTCTAAACAGGTATAGTAGTTTCCATTTTCTTTTCCATTATCCCTATATAAACCCAATATAACCCCAATATAACCCTAGTATAACCCAAGGCAGGTCAGGTGAATGCTTGCATCTGGGTAGCACCAACGACCACGCGGCCTCAGCGCTCCTCAGCCATAGGCTTCAGATCCTGCCGCACATAGGCGAACTACAATACTAGTACTGGCCACTTTGAGCTCCATCTCACTGTCATCAACCACTCCAGTATTGTGGATGTGCAAAGGGGTGTGCAACGATGTTGTAGCCGTTGCATTGGCTAGATGATCCGCTTTCAGGATAGGCCCGGCTTTGAAGCTCAGCTTGCCAAGAACCGACAACTCCCACACATGGCGGGTGTCCTTCGCACAATGATGCCCGAAGCCGGAATTTTGAGCCAGGCGAAACTTGCAGCAAGGCAAACACGCTTCATGATCCGAACACCTAAACAGATGTGGCCTTTGTAACTTTTTAGTCCAAGTTGATGACCTGACATGCAATGAGAAGAAGCCACTAGCCACAACCCAACCGGCAAGTGCCACTATTCATTCTGAGAAAGGAGGCTGAGCTCGTTTTGAGGAAGCTACAAGGATAGTATATATTAGAAAATATTATAACACATTATAGTATATTGTAATAATTTATAATACATTCTAATATATAACATTATATTGGCATGTGCTATAGTACGCTTTAACATATTGTAGAGACACCAACATCTCTTTCCAGGCCAATTTTGGGATTTCCAGCCAGGTCCCAGTTGTTCAAAGCTGGTTGAGCTGAAGGGCTCCAACATACAAGTCCTCTGCCACATTGTGCCCGAATCGTAGACAAGGATACTATAGTATCTGATAATATGCTATAACATACTATAGTATACTATAGTATACTACTGCGGCAGGCGGAAAGTTCGTCGCATCGCCATGTTTGGCTTCAAGATAGGCCAACCCCCTTCCCTGTAGACTCCTCCACGAACAACAGGCCTCAAGTCCTCCGTTTGTAACAATTAAAGAATTTTCAATTTATTCCAGCGTGAT